GCAAAGATTTTTATGAAAAAGAAAAGCTCCCTAGTAAAGAGCCCAGCGAAGAACTCTTGCCTCCACCAGTTCAGATTCAAATTAAAGGGCATGCCTCTGCTCCGCACTTTGGAAAGGAAGAGCCCTCAGCAACACCCATCAGCACTGGGAAAGCCTTCCAGCCCCGGTCCTGGATGCCGCAAGAGGGCAAGAGCCACAATCCATGAACTGTATTATGGTAAAATCATTTCACTTGCACAGATATAACTATTTGAACAAATAAAATAAGTTTAAAAATGAAAAAAAAAAAAAAAAAGATTAACAAGTGTCCACTGGAGTAATCAGCCATGGGAAAGACCTGTGATCCAGGAAAAGAAATTCCAGTGAAAAGGAAATGGAGGGAACGAAAGGAAGCATCCTGGGGAGGGAGAGAACAGAAGAGGAGCTAGAATTCTTGGGCCGGCGGCTAATAGGAGAAAGACCTAAAGGGACAGAGGGCATCAGAGAGACTCAGCCCAGACTCTGTCTGCAATTTTCTCTTAGACATCACCCAAATCCTACACTATGCATAAGCAGGCTAAGACTGTCAAAAGCCAAGCGCAACGCAGCAGATCTGCTTGCCAACAGTTTCACAGTGCTAGGGTGAGGCAGGAATTCCAGGCTTCTCCAGGTGTCGGGCCGGGTGAACGTCCCACACTGAGTTGAAGCCAGCTGGGCTACCTTACAAGCAGGCCAAAGAGGCAGGCCTTGAGAGTAAGGACACTTCGCAAGAGTAGAAAGTCCCTGCCAACAGTTGCAGAACACAAAAGTAACAGCTTAGGAGTAAGAGAGAACTAGAAAAGTCATCTCTTACAAGTCGATCTTCGATTAAATCAAGGTGCTCCCCCCAAAATTCTATCATTTATCCTGATCGATTGATCTGTCTGTCTATCTTCCGTGGTAAACACAGCCGCAGGCTTGAAATTTAATCGTATTTCATGCTTGGTGTTCAATAAAAATTACTAGATTTTATGGGTGATACACGGTGTCAACTTTAGGTGTTTAGAAATTTAACCAAATGACTCTGCAGGAGGCTAGGGCCTCACTTTGTGAGCAGCCTCAGCCTGTGCAGAGGAAGGCAGGGAGAAGGTGTGCGGGCTGCCCCCGCCCGAGAGCCCGCATGGTATGGGGAGGCTGGAGGCCAGCTCTTCCCTCCTTTTGTTCCTGTTGCTCGCTCTCTCTCGCTTGCTTGCTTGCTTGCTTGCTTTCTTTCTTTCTTTCTTTCTTTCTTTCTTTCTTTCTTTTTTCTTTCTTTCTTTCTTTGGCAGAACTGAGGATTGAACTCAGGCCGTTGCACTTGCCAGGGAAGCACTTATTCCACTGAGCCACCTCCCCAGGCCCCCCCTCCTGTTGCTTTTCCTGTCTTCTGCTGCCTTAAACTGTTGCCCCTGTGCCAAGTCACTGTGCCTTGGAGTCAGCTGATTATGGACAGAAATTTTCATAAACTCTGAGCTAAATAAATCTCTCATTCCTTAGTTTTGGGCAGAAGTGGGTATTTTGTCTCAGTAACAAGAGAAAAGTAACTAAGATAATAGATAAGCAAAGTAGTGGAGCCAAAGGAGTGAAAAAAATCAAGAGAAAAAATAAACAATAGATATAAATGCTTAATTTATCACATAGACTTCAAAACAGTCATGATGCCCAGTGTGGTGGCATGTGCCTGTAATCCCAGCACTCACTAGGCTGAGGCAGGCAAGCTGCTGTGAGTTTAAGGCCAGACTGATCTACATAGTGAGACTCTGTCCTAAAAAACAAAACAAAAATCAATGAATGGGTTGGGTGTGGTAGCTCATGCCTGTAATCCAGCATTTGGGAGGCTGGGGCAGGAGGAATGGCTGCAAGTTCAAGGCTAGCCTGGGCTACAAAGTGAGTTTGAGTTCAAGGCCAGCCTGAACAATATAGAGACTCTGTCTTTTTAGATTTTTTTTTTTTTTCAAGAACCGGGGATTGAACTCGGGCCCTTGTGCTTGCCAGGGAAGCACTTATTCCACTGAGCCATCTCTCCAGCCTCCAAGACTCTGTCTTAAAAAAAAAAAAAAAAAAGAAAGAAAAAGTTGACCAGGTTAGCACATACCTATAATCCCATCTACCTGAGAGGCAGAGACAGGAGGATTGCTATGAGTTTGAGGTCAGCCTGGACTACAGAACGAATTTAAGAGCAGCCCGCACTTCATAGAGGAATCTTGTCTCAAAAAACAAAACCAAACTAAACTAAAAAACACATTCAACTATATATTGAAGAAGAAGCCTCACAAATCCCAAGATAAGATAAATTCAAAAAGAACTTAGGAGGAGGGCTGGCAAGATAGCTCAGCAGACTAAGCGCCTGCTTAGGCAAGTGCAGGGACCGGAATTTGATCCGTTACCACATGCCAGGCCGGCCCTGCCCTCAGGCATGCTGAGCCAGTGACCAAGTCTGGGCGTGGTAGTTCACACCCGTAATTCCAGCACTAGGAGGCTGAAAACTGGAGGATTGCTACAAGTCCAAGCTGCATAGTGCGGCCCTATACCAAATACATAAAATTTTTAAAAAAGAAACGAACTTGGGAATTTATAGACTAACTACTGAAAAGTCAAACATCCACAGAAAACCTTAAAAACTAAAGAATAACAATCTTTAAAAAAGATGTACAGAAGATTTTACATTAGAAATAAAGCTAGAAGTCAAAAAAACTAAATATTTAAAGTACTAAAAGAAGACCGGTATCAACCAGGAAAAAAAATTTTTTTTAATGTATTCGGTACAAGGTCTCACTATGCAGCCTGGACTCATAGTGATTCTCCTGTTTTCAGCCTCCCCAGCACTGGGATTACAGGCATGTGCCACCACACTTGGTCTTCAACCAGAAATTCTACAGAGGGTGAAAATGTGCTTCACCCCTCCTAGGTATCTTCCCCAAACAAGCTAAAGACATCAAATTATAGTGATTCATCCTACCCATGTTTATAGCAGCCCAGCTCATAACAGCTAAACCTATGGCCTATGTCCACCAGCAGAAGCCTGGATAAGGATGATGTGGTAAGTTACACACAGTGGAGCACTACACTGCCCTAAAAAAGAGGAATGTGCGTCATTAGCAGGAAAATGGCTACATCTTGAGACATAACCTTAAGTGAAATAAACTAGGAACGTAAGCCCAAGCATTACATGGTTTCTCTAATATGAGAAGCCCAAAGTAAAAAGAAAGACCAAAATAAAGGATAACAGGAAGCAAAGAGACAGATCATTCTCCATCAGGAAGGGAATGAAGAGATGGGAGGGGAGGAGAGGGAAAGGGGACAAAAAGAAAAAGGGACTGCATGTGTTGTGTCTGTGTACCAGCTCTGTGCACCATGTGCTACACGCAGGCACAGAACACAGCAATCAAGGAGGGTGGGGAGCCGGGTGTGATGGCGCACACCTGCAATCCCAGCACTAAGGAGGCTGAGGCAGGAGGACGGTTGTGAGATTGAGACCAGCCCGGGTTACAAGTGAGCTCCAGGCCAGCCTGAACTGCAATGCAAGACCCTATCTTAGAAAGACGAGAAGGGAAAAAAAATAGCCCGGCAAGATAGCTCAGTGGCTTAAGTTCCTGCCTGATTGAACTCAAAAGGTCCTGACTGAGTTCAATCCTGGTACTCAAAAGAGAGAGAGAGCGAGAGACCGGAAGATGAAGGTGTGAGGATGTGTTCTATACATATGCCGACTGCACACAGAAGTGGTACGAATAAACTCGAATAAAATAATAAAACATGTTTCAAAATAAAGACGTCTTAGCAGAAAAAAACCCAAAACCGAGAGGATGTGTCCCTAGTAATCCTGTACTACATGAGATAGTACTGAGGAGTTCATCAGACAGATCCTAGGAGAAAAATGCTGATGCAGGAAGGAGCGAAGCATGAAAATAATAAAATAACATAACAAATCAGGAATAATATTGAATATGTCATACAAAAATTAAGTCATAGCCAGGCATGGTGGCTCTTGCCTGTAATCTCAGCACCTGGAGGGCTGAGGCAGGAGGATCACTATGAGTTAGAGGGTAGCATGAACTACACAGTAAGGCCCTGTCTAAAAGAACAAAAACAAAAATTAAATCATAGTTAGAAGGGCTTGCGAGCTAGCTCGGTTGTTTAAGCGCCTGCTTGGGCAAACCCAGTCAGGCGCAGGAGACTGCGGCTCGATCCCCAGCTCCACAACCCTACCAGACCGGCCCTTAAGGTAGCCTGAGCCAGCCTCCCTCCCAAAAAAAAAAAACAAAAAAAAAAACAAAAACCCTTCTAAATCACATTTAGAATTAAAGTAACATTTACATGGTGACAAAATATTGCAAGGAGATCAATGGAGTTAGGGTACTGTAAGGTTCTTGCATTGCTTAGGATACTGTAAAGGCAAAATTTAAGGGAAGCTATTGTGGTGCATACCTGTAATCACAGCCCTGGGAGGCTGAGGCAGGAAGATCACAGAGTTCAAGGCCAGCCTGTGGGGAGTTCAAGGCCAGCCTGAACTACGGAGCAAGACTGTCTCAAACCCAAACCAAATCAAACCACACCACTCAAGGAAAGACCACTCAGAGGCTGTGCTGTAAGCTCCAACACAAGCATGTATACACACAAGAGATAACAACAAGAAGCTACAGCCAATGGAGAAGGGAAATGTGAACAATTCCGCAGTTACGACCATCAATTTCAAAGCTAGCACTTTCAGAATTCATGTATGATCACAGTAAATTCTTGATCTGAAATGCTCTAGAAGCGGCTGGGGAGAGAGCTCAGTGGCATAAGCATCTGCCTAGAAATTCGCTAGAAGCAAAAACTACTCCTCAGCATGAAATGGAAAAGTTCACACCGTCAGCTAAAAGAAATGGCAACTGATTAAATGTCATTTACCTCTCCCAGATTACTGATGGCTGGGAAGCACCATCCTAATGCAACAGTTAATGGTAAAAGAAAAAAAACCCCAACCGAGAACCTCCGAGGGGCTGGTGTGCACAGCGCGGAGGGCTGCTGCTGGACTGCTGCAGATCTGCCTCCTCTGACGACCAAGGCACACAGGGACAGCCTGCAGGGACCTTCCACACAGCACCTGCCCTGGAGGTTTCTTTCCAAAGAGTCTCTTGGAATTGCATGGTTAGAGATCTCTGCTTGGGAGGCCACAATATATTAATATTTCACAGTCACTCTCTTGGCATGATAATTATACTCAAATTAAATAGCTAATCAAAAGAAAAACCTACTTGGACCTCAACTTCTATTAATAATCCCAAAGTCAGCACGCATATTTTAAAAAGGCAGTGCTTACTGCTATATTAAAAATAAATGAATCAGCTTTTATGACATTTCTGTAATTAATCAGAGAACATTAATAATTTTATGAGTCTTCCAGTAAAAACAATGACCTCAGTCTAGAGCTGTAACCCATAAATCTGGCACTTGTAGTTACAGGAGTCCAAGATAATACCATATTACCAGCTGACGTTGAATATTTTCATGACGTTGCTTAAGAAGTTCTTCTGTTCTCTGCAAAAGACCAAATTCAGCCTTAAATTCTGCTATTATCTGATGTTTCTTTTTGAAAACTGTACTCTTGCTTCGTAGTTTACTGACGTATCGTTTGAACTGCAAAAAAAAAAAAAAAAGCCAGTATGTAACTTAATGAGTACAAGAGTAGTAGCTAAGTATCACACATAACCTCTATTTCTCCTCATTTACCAATACATGTATTGCGAAATATGTAATAATTTAGTTTTATTAGAAAACTTAGAAAGATTACTCAGCTAAAACATCACATGACATAGGTATAGTGACATATACCAACAATCACAGCTATTCAGAAGGCTCAGGATCACAAGTTCAAGGCCAGCCTGGGCAAAACAGAGAGCCCATCTCAAAAAAATAAAATAAAAGTGCACACTTTTATTTATTTATTTTTATTTTATTTTTTTTGCAGAACCAGGGGTTGAATTCAGGCCCTTGTGCTTGCCAGGCAAGCGCTTATTCTACTGAGCCACCTCCCTGGCCCCCGCACATTTTTATTTTTGAACTGATCTAAATATTCTAAGACCTTCTATAAGCCTATTCATTTTAGATCTTACTAGTAAAAAGTAGAAATTCAATTCTATAAAAATAAGTAGGAGAGGGCCGGGGAGATAGCTCAGTAGAATAAGTACTTGGCTGGCAAGTGCAAGGGCCTGAGTTCAATCCCCAGTTCTGCTAAAAAAAAAAAAAAAGTATGAAAGATATAGCAAAACAAAAAGAAGCATAACTTAAGGATTAAATAATGAAGAGGAAAGAAAGGAGAAAAAAAAAAAAAAAAAAAAAAGGTAGGAGATAATAACTACAAATCTTTTTGGAGTATATCTTATATACTGCTATAACTGTTATAGCAAACATTTCTGTAGTAAGAATCTGGTATATTTAAACATATCACTTTAAAACAAAACCAGCTGTGTGCAGTGGTGCATCCCTACAATTCTAGCAACTTGGAAGGTTAACAAGGCAGGAGGACTGGAAGTTTGAGTCTAGCCTGGTCAACTCAACAAAAGGTTTAGAGTGTTGCTTAATGCTACAGTGGATGGGGAAACGCACAGAAACACACACACACACACACACACACACACACACACACACTTACCTTATTACCTAATTAGGGATAATTTAACTATTTGAGAATCTCAGCCTTTTTAATGCCCAGTACTTTCTTTAAGTTACTGTTTTGGGGGTAAAAGATTAATAAATAATACTATAAGAAGCAATTAATGGCTTACTGAAATTTTGGAAAACAAAAGAAAAATAATTCATTTGGAACTATTATCCCAATGCAAACTGTATTACTGCATTTGTATTTTTTCCTTCTAATTTTTTGATTTCGCTTTTTTTTTTTTTTTGGTGGAACCGGGGATTGAACTCAGGCCCTTGCGCTTGCCAGGCAAGTGCTTATTCTACTGAGCCATCTCCCCGGCCCCCAGATTTTGCTTTTTGAGGCAGGGTCTCACTGTGAAGTCCAGGCTGGCCTTAAACTCACAGCGACCCTTCTACCTCAGCCTCCCAATTGTGGGGGTTACAGGTGTGCACCACATTTAGCTTTCCTTCTAATAGTTTAGGTCAAATATAAAATCAGTAATCCTAAATTATAGGTAGTAAAATAATACAGCATTTCCAAAATTTATTTTTTCCTTAAAAGACTTATTTCTGGGGCCAGGGAGATCGCTCAGAAGTCTAAGTGCCTGCCTGACAAGCACAGGGACCCAGGTTCAATCCCGGGTACCACATGCCGTGCTGGCCCCAGAACCCTGGAAGTGCCGAGATGGTCACCGAAACCAGGTGTGGTGGCACATGCCTATAATCCCAGTGCCAGGGAGCCTGAAACAGGAGGATCACTATGAGTCTGATCTGCATAGTGAGACCCAGTACCAAATACATACAATTTAAAGAAAAAACAAAACTTACTTTCTGATTATACAAAAATGTGTTGACCCAGGGAGATAGCTCAATGACATAAATGCCTGCCTTGCAAGTGCAAGGTCCTGAGTTCAATCCCTAGTACAAAAAAAGAGGTCTTAAAAATAGAGAGATTAAAATTTATAGCATAGGGGCCTGCCCCTTAGCTCAGTTCTTTAAGTGGCTGCTTCAACAAAGCAGTCAGCCTCAGGTTGCTGTGGTTGGATCCCCACAACACAAGACAGCCAGTCATGCCTTGAAGGCATTCGGCGCAAAAAAAAAAAAAAAAAAAAAAATTTATAGCATAAAAATAATCCTCCAATTTCTAATTTAGACATTTTTATACACTTAAGCTTTAAAAAAAAAAAATCAAAGAACGTTGTATTTTAGAGGAAGTTCAAAACATGTTTCTATCCATGACTGAGTTAGTTTTAGTGCTAAGAAATCTAGCCACCACACAGTAAATTTTCAATGGCTGGATCATAGAAACTGCTCTAAACTTTTAGTCACATCCATGTACCTGGAGTCTAATAACTTCTAATTTGCCCTTTTATAGTTTAAATGTGTATGCCTGACAAAAGCACAGATTCAGAATCCCTAGAGTAACTATATGTCCTATTACAAGTGTCCTGGGCAAGGTGCCCGAGATGAAATCAATCCTGCTCATCTGCTAGCCTCTGTAATATCCAGGCCAATTTCCCCTTCTCTATCGTGCTGTGTTCCAGCACTATTTTTAAAAGCTACAAGACAGAAATGTTTTTGGTGCAAGAGCAAAGCCACAAATGATTAATGTGTTCTGCATGGAATGAGTATGATTTGACAACACTGCACATACTACATATGCAAAGATAATCAGGTCAGGTTAATCCCTCATCCACAAAAACAAGCCACAGGTGCCACTGAGCATTTGGGATCTACCAGCCTGAAACTAATCAGAAGACAGAGAACATACTGTCTGTGTTCTTCCACTGGACTTTTCTTCTATTTATCATTTGGATTTTTGTTTACTTCTGAATTTTTAATACCATGTAAGAAGAGCATGGGAAATACACTGAATCTGCAGACATACTCGGTAATTTCTGTAGACCACTTTTCCAGAAATAGTCAAAGGGAACATAGGCTTCCGATACATGCTGCCAAAATGCCCTTCAAAAAACTTATTTATAATATTTTTATAACCCATCTGATAAGCAAGTAAAATAATACCTTAGTTTTTACTTGCATTTCTTTATTAGGAAACATTATTTTTTCATCATGCTTATTATACATCTACGGAAATTCAAACAAAATGATTTGCCTTTAGCCAACTTTTTATTGGGGTATTTGTTCTTTTCTTGTGTACATAGCAATTCCCAAACTTTCTGAGCTCGGGAACTCCTTCCGTCCGTTCTCTCTCTCTCTCTCTCTCTCTCTCTCTGTATTTGGTACAGGATCTCACTATGCAGGCAGCTTGGACCCATAGTGATCCTCCCATTTTCAGCCTCCCCAGCACTGGAATTACAAGCATGCCTGGACTCAATGGCTAGCTCAGTGCACCCCAGGGCAGGGCCAGCAAGGTATGTCGTACTGGAAATTGAACCCCAGTCTCTGCGCTAAGCTCAATCACTTAAGTGATTTAAGAATTCTAGCCAAGCATGGTGGTACACACCATGTAATTACAGCACTCAGGAGGTGGAGGCAGGAGAATCACTGTGAGCTCGAAGCCACTGGGGGCTACAAAGTGAAGTTCAAGGCTAGCCTGGACTACATAGTAAAACTCTTGTCTCAAAAAGACAGACAGAAACGCTTGTCTGGCAAGTACAAGTCCTGAGTTCAATCCCTGGTACCACCACAAAAAAAAAAAAAAAAAAAAAAAAAAGACAGAAGAAAGAAAGACTGGCGAGATAGCTCAGCAGACTAAGTGCTGAGGAGGATCACAGGATGATTGCTGTGAGTTCAAGACCAGCCTGGGCTACAAAATGAGCTCAACGCCAGCCTGGACTGCACAGCAAGACCCTGTCTCAAAACAAAACAAGAAAAAGAAAACTGATACAAGTACACAGTGTTAAGCCACTAGAGAGACGGCGTGGCTACACGTGAGGCCTCTGTGACAGCTACAGTACACTGAGGCAGGAATGGACACAGGAAAGCCTTCCCTAGCCCTCCTCTCCCTGGTTCACAGCCACAGTGCTGGCTGGAGCCCACAGCAGTGAGGGGGCTGGGAGCTGCACAGAGCCAGTGGCCAGAGGGGTCCTGAGGTCAAGGCGCATGCAGAGGGCGCCCAGTGGGTGGTGAGTGGAGCCATGGGGCAGGGCGACAGGGGGCAGGCCATGGAAGTACAGAAGTGCAGCTCTACAGGCTGATGGGCTTGAAGATGGGGAACAGTGGAGCTGCTGGCTGAGGAGCCGTGTGCAGGAACAAGCTAGCAGGCCTGGCAGCTGACAACACAGCAAGAGGGGGTGGCAGGAAGCCACGGCAAGCATCCGAGAGGGTGAAGAGGTGGGGTGAGGCACACAATGTATGCAGGAGGAAGCTGCAGTCATCAGCAGGCTGACTGAACAGGCAAGTTACCTGCCTGCAAATAAGCAAATGCAGCAGCAAAAAGGGAGTCAGATTTCTCAGTGACAGAAAAGATTTTAAAACTAGCAATGAGAGAAAGCTAGAAAGAATGCTATGATACCAGGTGTTGGTTAGAACCCACAGGTTTTTTTGTTTTGTTCTTTTTTTCTCATAAGTCTTTTATTTACTCATTTCGTACAGCGTCTTGCTACATAGCTCAGACTCAGCAATCCTCCTGTCTCAGCGCACGTGGTACTGGGGATTGAACTCGAGACCTTGCGCTTGCCAGGCAGGCACTTAAACCACAGGGCTATCTCCCCAGCCCCAGAACCTACAGTTTAATGATATATTTACATGGACAGAGAAAAGTTATAGGTCCCTGTGTTTGTGTAAATACAGATACACATATGTGCAAAGGTTTACTTCTGTACTGAAAGAACTAGGCGAGGTAACAAGAGAAGAAAAATAAAGACATACAGGGTTTGAAAAAAAAGAAAATTCTCATTATTCACATATTATTATCTTTATGGAGAAATTAAAAATAATTTAAAGATATATAATCAGTAGGATAATTTAGCAAGTTTACCAGATATAGTCAGTGGCAAAAGTCAGCTGCATTTCTGTATGCAAAGAGCTCATAA